GAGCATCTGTATTTCTGCCAACCTGACCTCTCCCCACTTGTGTCTCTGGGTACATTTCCGTCGTCACAGCTCAATTCCTGGACTGCAGGTTGAGGAAGCTGTTTTAGTGCACAGCAGATGCCAATCTGGTAAAAATGCCTTTTTTTCCTCCAAAAAAGAACTGGAGAGAAAGGCCATCACCCATGACAAGACGCATGAAGAAGGTGAATTCCCAGTGACACCAAGTGTGTGCCCTTCCCTCCTGTGGCTGACCAACAGGCAACATGAGCAACTGCGTGTCCCTGATAGGAGCCTGCCTGCTGCGCAGATTACTTCCTCTGTTGGGAGGATAAGGATCTTCTAATAACCTCATGGTGAGATCACAATCATGAGGTTTTTTTTCAGGGCATACCCTACAACCACTCTAAGAACTCCTCTCGGTGAGGAATCCCAGCTTGGTACCACTCTTAATGTCAGGAATTTACTCACAGTTTCATTTCTGCTATTTTGTTTGCTTGAGGAACGACTGTGTCAAAGTTCCCCCCGGAGTAAACCTACTGACCTCAAGACACGAACTTTCCCTGCATGCCTCCCAAATGCCAGCTCAGTAGCTCAGAGCCGAGAGGGGTGTTTGGGCAGGAAGCAAAACTGGAGGTGGGAGATCCTGAGTGTCTTGGTTTGGCATTGCTGAGCACAGCAAAACAGCAGAGGAGACGTCAGGGTCCCTCTTGACGTAAGAGAAGGCTCGTTACTGGGAAGCGGGCAGTTGAGTAAGGTTCACCCTTAACTCACCAATGCTTCTGTCTGTGTGAGTCTGGCCTCCTACAGCGAAAGGGAGAAACCCTCCCTGGTGGTTTAGGTCAGCGAAAGAGCAGAACAACAGAGCTGAGAGCAGGGGGACATAGCCAGTGTTTCCTTCAGTGCTCCGTGCTGTCTTGTCCTGTGGCAGGGTGCAGGGAAGAGGAGGAGAGCTCAGCAGATTGCAAGGGACCTGCAATACCTGGATTTGAACTGTGATGCTTTTACTTGTATGCAAAACCTTCTTCAGTGCTCAGCCTGAAGCTGGACTGCAGTAATGTCAGTTTGCCTACCTGAAACTGCTCGTGCCGCTCTTTCAGCACCGCGTGAGCCGATCCCTGAAGTGGCGCGGGGGGTTCTTGTGTAGCCACAGGCAGAGCTGGCTGCAGCTGTGTGGACTCCCCACCTGCTGAAAAACTGGTATTTCAAAGTCTGTTTTCATCTCAATTCACTTTAAGCCAAATTAGTGGAAAACACAGGAAGGCTTTGAATTCAAATTCTTGCGTTGTGCTTTTCTCAGAATGAATTACACTTTGCTAAAGTGAGGTAGAGCCTTACGAGTTCTGCTTTCTAAGATCATACAGCCTGCACGTGCTGGCCTGGCACTATCTCCTGTGAGGCACTGGGATCCTTTCCATCTCGGGATGGCCGTGTCACCTAGAGTTGAAGGAGAGACTGCAAGAAGTCAAATTTTACACACAGGACATAGATGTCAAATACAGAAACTGAATTCCCATGAGATATTTCATTGCTGAATGAGTTGCAATTTAATGTCAGACCAATTCAAGATTACATGTTTCAGTTCAGTTCAGCAAATTCAATGTTTCAGTTCAAGTGGCACCAAGCTGAACTGAAATCTTTCTTTCTGAGCTAACTTCCTGTGGAATTTATTAGGAGCTGTGTTTTCTTTTGAGAAGCCATACTGATGAACAACTGCCAGCACTGCGACCTGGGCAACAAATTTTAATCGCTGATTTCCACTCTTCTTGCAGTGGAGGCGAGCAGAGTAACCTAGGTTCTAACATGAGACTGAAAATACCTGGTAATTTGATTATTTTTTTTTTTTTATGATTAATTGAACTTTAGGATAACTAATGTGTTCTAGTGAGCAAACAGCACAGTGTGGCTCTCTTGGGCATAGATCAGGCCTGGCACTGTTGAGAAGCATGGTATGTTTGTTCATGCAGGATCACATTTTTGTAAAAGATAGCTCATGGGGCGCACGTGTTAAAGGGAGTATGTCAAAGAGACAGAATCACTAAGGCATGAAATAGACTGTAAATATACACAATCAAATTAAGCAAAGCTGTAATAAATGTTTGGAGAACTCCCTAGGTACAAAACATGACTGTACAAGAAGACTCAGTGTTACAAAGACACAGCAAATTGTTTATTTTAAAATATTCCCATTCTTTTTTAAGGAAAACAATTTGCTTGAATTGGCTCTGACAACACAGAACTTGGCATGTACCAAAACTCTGACGCTAAAGCTTGGGAGTATGTGCAGAAAACAAACTGCAAACCATCTGCCTGTCTCCTTTCTCTCGTTGTCTTTGGCTTCAGCCATTACGGATCTGGGGATGGGTTCACTGAGATGCTGCCTTACAGCCTCTTCCCCTCTCTCTGGTAGCGATGCGAGTACAGAGCAAACCTAGGCGATCATGCTTATCTCTACGTACCCACCACTCCCACAGACAGCACCATAACTACGTTTAAAGGCTTCACACCCACCATTTCTAAGTATTCTTCCTGTACCTGAGAGAAGTCTTTCATCTCTAGTCCTTCTTGGCGGAAGTGGTTAAAAGATAAAATTCTCAAAGGCAGTGTACCTGCTAGGATAATTGATGAACAAAAGGAACAGAGCAATAAATAGACTTGCAGAGATGTGAACTGCACCTGCCTACTGAGGCAAGTCAAAAGTGAGTATGCTGAAAAGCCACTGATGCGGCTTAGGAAAGTGCAGGTCACCTTCTGTGAAGCCAGATAAAAACACTGATAGTTTCAAGCCCCAGCATCCTGCACATTAAGTACCCCAGAATGGGATCAGAACCACAGTGGCACTGGCCTACTGAGAGGGAAACACTGGGAGGGTTTTTAAGTGACAGCTGGCCTGGCACAATGTCTAAGGAGGGTCTGAAACTGTGGATGGGGGGTTACATAGGATCTGAGACCACCCACAGGATCCTTGACTGCAGGTATATTTAATTTGGGCTTGAGAGAGCTAGGGAGCGAAACAGTTGGTGTTAAAGGCAAGGCAGCAAGTGATCAGTAGTTTTAGGATCAGACTCTTGCATGTACTCAAATTCTACTGAAGTCCTGTTTTGGCTGTGGTTAGCCATGACATTATCTTAAAATAATTTAATAGAAACATCCCACTGTAACGTTGGTTTTCTTAACACCATAAAATCTTCAGAACACTAGTGCTAAACTATGCTAGAGGAAAACAAATCCGTTCTCCCCAGCAGTGAAAAGTGTTTACTTTTCCCAAGAGCCACAGACTATTGAACATTCACTGGTCATGGTGTTTTAATGTTTAGGAAGGGCATCATTCACAAAATGATTTCTCTTGGATGCTGGCTGAAGGCACTTGCAGTGAGCTGATTTCTGCCTCTGAAGGTTATATGAGCAGCAGGGCTGAGGTGCTGGCATTGATGTAACTGATCAACTCATTTAACCCAACTTATCTGCTCCTTGTAATATGTATCCCATATAATGGTCAGATAATTGAGTAAGACACTGATCAGATTACCCTGAAAAGGACAGTGATTCCTGAGAGCCAGACAGTGGCTGCCTGGCACAGATGCCTTTTATAATAGCTATTTAATTACACAGTTATTTGCCTGATGCAGAGTAAATATGTCTAAATTAGCCTAAATGCAACATAGGTAGGATAGGTTTTCCTTCATTTCAATTTGCTGAAGCAGAATAGTGCCTTTTCAGATGTCTCCCAGCCACATAAACATTGCCTGAGTTGTGTTCTCTCTCTTCCACAAGACAGGTCTTTCTGGCTGTTTTTGGAAGTTCCCTGCTTGGTGAACTGGCTTGTTTGGGTCCATCCTGTGCTGTGTTACCCTCCTCCAGCACTGAGCTGGTTACCTCCGTAACTCCAGAATAAGCCCCAAAGTGCCGTGTGCTTTTGAACCTGTTAGGGATTGTGAGCTCTAACTGGGATCCATCCTGTGATGCTTTATTTTTCCATCTGTCCTGGCTGCAGTAACAGCATTGACATATTGTAAGAAGATGCAGAGGACAAGATGCCAAAGCGAATGCTTTTGAGTCACCTTGGAAGGAAAGTGAGTTCATGAGGAGCTGGTGACGTTTCTACCTGTTAGAGGAGTCTGTTCCATGAGCAGGCTGTCCACCTTGGACAGCCAGAAAACAAAAGCCACTGATTTGTATTGAAGCCAATCCATTTAGGAACAGGGTCGGATGAAGTGATTCCCTGTCAAGGCAGGGACCAGAGCTGACAGTGCTGCAGGTCCTCCCAGGGCCACGTCCTGAGGTCTGAAACTTTTGCAGTAACGTGATGGTGGGGAAGGTGTGGGACCACAAAAGTGTAAAACCTTTTGAGGAAGATGGTGCATGCTGATACTCAGCAGATGGTAACACAAGAACACCCAAAAGCAGAAAGAGGGGGGGGGAAGTCCACTTACCCGCTTGAGCTGCTGATAATCTAGAGAGGATGCTGCGAGCATGTGGGAGAAAGGCAAAGGGATGCCAGCCACTGGCAGTCCTGCACACTGAGGTTTTTCACGTGGTAGCTGAACACCTTCCCCAGAAAGGGTCTGGCAGAGGAGGTGGGAATCCTCCCTGTTTCCTACAGCACTGGGTTCTGGTGGATGCTCTGGCAGATGAAGCAGGATCTGCTGTGGAGAGAAGAGAACAAGAAAAGAGACTCTCTCTTCTTGTCCCTTCACCACAGACAATTTCTCCTGTGTCAGTGCACTTCATTTTACCAAGTCTCAGTCAAAAGTGTGTGTGCGCAGCCCTCAGCGGCACGTGCTGAGGAAGCACCTGAACACCCTGAGTGTCTGAAGGCAGCGTGGCACGCAGCACAACTTTCCTGTATTGGTGAAAGCATGAGGAGGAGGGTCTACTAAATGTCAGTGACGCCAGGACGTGTCATGAGCTTCTTGCAGAGGCGCAGGAAGTATAAAAGACAGTTTCTCAAAGAGGGTCTCTGGCAGGAGCTGCGGCGTGTCAAGCCTGCACTGGAACATACAATGCTCTTGCTAATCTTGTGACTTCGTCTCTGTTTGAAACAAGACCATGGATGGTGGTGAGTACCTGTTCTGCAGCCTCTGGCTTTGTCTTCAGCTTTATTAATAATGCCCAAATTCATACCCTATGACACAGGGATGAAGCACTTTTAACAGAGTGTTTAAACAATGAAAAAGGCTTTCATCTTCCTCCTATTTACTATTTAAAAAAAAAAAAGGCAAAGTTCTCTTTTACAAGCTCAAAAAACTCAAATCAATTACTTCAGAAACAAACACACACACAAAAAATAGGCTTGGAGGCAATTTCAAGGGGCTATTCTGTCCCAAAGCAAATGTACAAATTATGTGAGAAGAGCTCCTTTTCTTCCATGTTCTTAATAAAAAATAAAAAAGAGACAATTCCATCTCCTTGAGAATATCTTAATTCAGTGAATAAATCAAGGAATTGGGAGCAAGCGTATCTGAGTTTATTGTTGGCTATGTCTCTCTAGTCTTATGCAAATTGTTTCTATTAATGAATATCTTTACTGCAGCAACAAAACTTTGCTGCAAAAAATGACGGGTTTGCGTTTGCTCAGAGATGGAACAGCCCTGAGTCGGTGCACTTGTATGGGTCTGTACTCCCATGGATTACCCCATCATGAAGCATGCGGAGGAGAGCAAGTAAGCGAGAGAAGTATCTTCTCTTTGGCACATGACATCCCAGGAGAGGATGCCCAGGAGGCACAAGACAGCTTGCTTCTGTTTCTTGCTGAAAGTTTCAAACTTTCTTTTGCCATTTGTTATTGTTCTTTCATACCCAGTGCTCTGCAGGCACCAACTTCCAGGAGCTTGAGGAGGTGGGTGCCTGTAGGCGGGGAATGGCACTGTGGGTCAGAGATGTGGCAGATAAGATGCTCTAAGACTGTATGATTTATTCCTTTTTTACTTGGTTTTTCTTTTTTATTGCTCAAATGTTTGCAAACACTAATCCCAGTGTGATTGAGGGAGGTGCAGGGAGGAGGGACAAATGCAATAGCTCAGGTGGGTAAGTTAGTTTATAACCAGATTAACCAAACTGGGTTTACAATACAAGCAACACCTCTCTGTGCCAGAGAGCATGGTCAGAGCTGTAATAAGGATGGTGAGAGGGATGAACAGTAGCCACAGAGTTCTTCCCAGTAAGGCCTATTCCAGGTATAATGAATTAAGCTTTGTAACAGGATGAAATGGGAGGTGTTGCCGCCTTTTCTCTGTGACATTTTCAAATCAAAGCTTTAAATTAACTGGGATGTGAGAGGGTTCCCTGGGCTGGGAGGTGTAGATGTCCTGTGTGAAGTGCTGCAGACAGAACTAGAGACAGTCTGTGAATACGCTGAGATTTGAGCACCCAAGTTCCTACAGGTGCCTTGGACTGTAGCAGAGGAATGGGGAGTATTGCCATCTCCTGTTTTGAAGAAATTAAGATGCAAAAACTTAAAGTGACTCATGCAAAATCACACAGAGAGCTAGTCTGGTACAGCTGGGAAAATAACCTCTTCTTTTTGTATCTTTGTCCGCTGTTCCAGACCTCAAACTAGTCCTCATTTTCCAGGCAGAGATTTCTCCTCTTGGAAGGTCTGCAGTGATTTCTGGATTAAGCAGAGGGCTGTTCCACGTGCAGTGTCTGAATGTGAAGCCATGTACAGTGCAGCTGGTGCTGAACCCTGCGCTGAGTTAGGAAGGGGGAGCTCAGGGCCGCCCAGCCTCTGAAGTGACACGGGGGAAAAGCAGAACGCTCCTGTGGGGTGCAAGCTGGAGGGACTGGGTCCCATAGGACCCACCAGGCAGAGGCAGGGAAGGGGCAGACCGAGTCTTCTCATGGATGCATCCTCACAGCTTCTAGCAATCAATGGCTTAGGGAATCCCTGGATTTTGGAATCCCTGTATCCAAACCAACACATCATAACCTAGATGGACCTGTTCACCGCACATCACTCTTCTCCCATTTAAATTTTTGTAAACTTTTGGCCTCTGCAACATCATGCAGGTTCTTCATAGGTGTCTTGTTTTAAGGGGGGGGACAGCTGTTAATCTGACTTTAGCTAATTGGTAAAGGTTAATTATGACAGGATAAAGAAAGAATTAGTGAGAACCTGACAAGAGGAGTATGACAATTTTCCTGCTTTGGGTTCTTTTTTTTGTCCTACTATTACATTTCAGAGGAATATTCCAAAAGAAATATTTCACAGCACTGGAAGATGCACAGCACTATTGTTTGTTTGTTTTTAAAAACAGTTATGTAGGAAACATGGTTGGCTCACTTAAGAATGAATTTTTTAACTTGCTTATCTCTTCTTATCTTGTCTTTTGATTCACAATTTCCTAAAAGGGGTGGAGGCAGATAATTGTTAACTTTCTTCTGTAACAGATCTATGAGCACATGAAATAAAAGCATGACTTTGTTTCATCGGGTCTGTTCACTCCTGAGATGATGGTATCTTTCCTCTGCCAGTTGTGAGAAGTAGAGGGGAGAACAGGCACTGAGCTGTTAACTGCCAATAGTCGTCATATCATTTAAGTATGATTAATTTTTCTCAGAAATATCTGGTTCTTTCCCCAAAAGCCTACGATACTGATGGTGAAGAGGCACCAGAAACCGGTACATGTTTAAAGATATAAACAGTACGTTACTCACTGCCTACACATGTGCTAAGGTGCTCGAGACTGAAACTTTTGTTTTGCAGTTCTGGCCAACAGAAGAATAGTCCTTCACCACGAGGGTTTAGCCAGAGCAGGTTTGCTCAGCTTTGCCAATACTCCCTAAAGCATTCCTGACTCTTGCTTTTCCCTTCGTGCATTCCTTGGCACCAGCAGAGGCAAGCAGCTGCTGCTCCACGCTGGCCCGTTAGAGCCTGACCTGCTTGGGTAGGAGCTGACCTAGTGCTTCTTTCTGCAGGATTTTGTCCAGCTTTAACCATCCTACATGCTTTCCTCCTCTGGGTAGACTTCATGCTACCAAATATTTCTTGATGTCAGCAGCTTTTCTGGGCATACCTGGGAAGATTCACTGCTACTATGGCTTCTTTTATCTTGCTTAAGATTGGTTGCTAATGCTGAGGGAGATTCAGATAAATGGGATGGGATTCATCTGCCCAAACTTACCCACCAACCCTTCTGCCATAGCATAGAATGAACTGCACCCCAGATGCCTAGCCCATGGCAGCTGAACCATGCCTTAAAAACAATTGTTTCTTTCCCTTTGCTATGGAGGGAGTCTAAACAACTAATCAGATGTCAAGGGCTAGAGTTCAGAAAATGAATCCCACCCCTTGTGCTTGCTCTATGGAGGAAGATTTTCAAAAGTGATGGGCTGATATCCCCTCTCACCGCTGCCCTGCCATCAGCAGCAGAGAGCAGACCCCCTCCCTCTTTCACTTGCATGGCGCAATTCTCCCTTCCACCTTTTCCCAGGGCCTGCAGGACAGGAGTGTGCTTTTGAGAAACCAGTGCATCACCACCTGAGGGACATGGGGGCTGATGTGGGGCTTTATAACATGTCTGACTCATTGGTTGTAATGGGTTTTTGCTGCCTTCTTACAGATGAGGTTTCTAGTTCAACTGTTTGTGGGGACTTTTGAGAGGGGGGGTTTCTTAATATTTTGAGGAACAAAACTTCAGGAAAATACCCACAGCAGAGAACGGCCAGAGATTAAAAAAAAAAAAAAAGAAAGAAAAAGTAAAGCAAGCTACCTAAAATTGCCTATTAAACTCCAGAGCATGTCTCATTTCCTCTCTGTAACTCATTTGCTTCTGCTCCCCTCTCCCTCCCCCCTGCTGCCCTGGACCCCTAAGAGCACCACAGAGAGAAGTGAGTTTCATCCAGTCTGCCTGAAACTCGTGATGCAGGGACTTGCTCAACAAAGTCGTGCGAGAGGATCACAAGGCTGCACTGCCTCTCTGGTTATGCCTTTGCAAATGCGTAAGCTGAGGTGGGGGCACAGAAAGAGGGGAAGAAACAGTGCAAGCTTTTTTTATATTGAAAAATCATTTGACATTTAAGACACTTGAAACAGCAACTGAGAGAAAAAAAATAGTGTGAAGATCTTCAAAGGAATTGATACTTAGCTGAACTGTTTCAGGATCGTTAGTTGAGTCACTTTATCAGTCCTATTTTGTTAGACACTTCACAGTGTGTTAAGAAAAAACCAGCAACTGATGACTTTTCAGATTAAGTAAGGCCTGAGCTGGTCCTGGGGCTTGAAGGGGAGATGCAAAAAAAAGCAGAGGAAGATGGTACCGTGCTTAGGGGGCAAGAGCCCTGGGCTGGCCGTGCTGGTGCATCAGCCTGGCACTAGGCGGCACCGCATCCTTTGCATGAGATGACCGAAAAATGCAAACCAAGCAACGCTGGGAGCAATGCCCTGATGGAGTCAGATTTAGGTTGGTGCCTTTCCTCTCTGGACTGAGAGTGGTTCTTCTCCTCTGCCTCCTTTTTATACAGCTTCTAGGAAGTTAATTGCCTTTGAGGCCTCAGCCCCTGCCCAATGTGGTTGAGATGGGCCCGCTCAGGTAATTATTATCCATCAACAGGCACAGGCAGACATAAGCACCAACTTCAGGAGTCCCCTGGAAGCCAGGCTATTAAGAAGGTGGAACAGAAGACTAAAGAATCCAATGGCTGGGGGTTTTTTTGCAGACATCAGGGACCCCATGCCTGTGGCCCAGGCAGGGAGGGCAATTACAGTCTACGCTTGCTTAAATTCACCCAGCAGGTTTAAGTGGTTTGGGCTTTCAGTGTATTTCCTGTGTGTAATACGCAAAAGTCAGATCAGCACCTTGAAGAGAGAGATGGCTACACTAAACACCCACCAAACCTCTTCCTGCAGTCTGGGACTGGTCAGCGTGAAAGCCATTGGACACACAGAAAATACAGACAGAAGCATTTAGCCAAGCTTCCCCTCTTACTCCTCAAGCCTAACTTTGGCATACTCCACTCCTGACTGTAAACGGCACTCGTGATGCACTGTTGCACTTTTCAGATTCCCCCAGGAGGATTCAGAGAAGGTGAGGGGTGTATGAATATAAATAAGCACCCAGCTGCATGAATATAAAAGATGAAAATAAGGGAGGAAGGCAAGGCACAAACTTCTACGAGACATAGTGGGAAGCTCACACACAGCTCTGGGGATCAGAAGTATTAGTTTTCACATGTGGCTGAGGATCTCTCACCATGGGTGATATAAACAAGTACCTCCAATCACAGATACCAAAGTAACTATTTCTGTTATTAATGATGCTATTGCATGTGACTTAAAGTGGGAATACTGGCACAATGGTTGTAGTTACCTGAAGTTGTGGAAGTTCATCATCCTGGTCCAGTGCAATACCTGAACAGGAGACTGGCAGAGCAGGGAAGGGTGTGAAGGAGCTCTGCAAAGAAACAGAACAGACCTGTGTACAACAGACTGTTAGGCCCAAGAGGGGCAAAGGAGTCGGCCAAATTTATGAACAGGCTTATCCACAGGCAGAAAGCATACTTCCTAAAAGAAAGAGGCAGCTGAAGCCAAAGGCATCTCCTGCCTCTGCCCCAGCCTTGCTCAGTGATCCTGGACCAGATAATCAGCAGGGAAGTGAGGGGCTGCAGCACAGCAAACTAGCCAGTGCCTAGAGAGACATCCTAGGATGAGCAGCATGATGCTCAAAACAGCCGATGCCAACTCTCCCTCAAGGAAGGACACATCTTTTGCTCGTGCCAGAGCAGAGGCGAGGGCTTTCTCACAGTTGCCCGATCGCCTTCTAGCCTGAGCAACTTTCAGTCGCAACTGCCTAAGGTAGATGCTGGTACGTGCTTTAAATAGAGCGAAGAGAAAGCTTTCACTGGCCTCTGTGCCTCTGCTAACCACAGCAGGAAGAACTGTTTGTCTGAGATTGCTCTCACCATTATCACATCTAGCTCTGAATTTAATTTTTCCTCCCAGCTGTCAGCATCCTGTATCTCCACATCCAAAGGCAGCAGAAGCCAACTCTGACATTTAGAGACAAGCAATAAATTTCAGCCAGCTTCAGTTATGTATATCCTGCAGGGAGAAGAGCTTTCCTGTTCTGCAGTCCAGTCACCACACTGTCAGGGAACAGCTGGGCCAAATTTATTGCACTCACAGCTGTATGTTTTTACATGGGTTGAGAATGCTACAGCCTCACAGCTCAGAACAAGGTGCAGGAGACAGGCTGCTCACTCTCTGCAGGGGAAAAAAAAAAAAAATGTATAAAAGTGGGTACACTGTGCACAAGTTAACTGTCCTTAGCTATCAGCCTTTACAGACGAAACTGGAGGGGACAGACTCCTGAGACTTAATCTGTGCTCTGACAGTGACTTGTTATGTGATCCTGGGTTATCCTGTTAGCATCCTCATCAGGTTTTAGTTTACCCAGTTGTGGGGAGCTTTGCAGGGTTGCGAATGCCATGGTCAAGTATGCTACCACTGCTTTTTCAGTGTCAGCATCATGTGGAAACCCCTACTCAACTGCTAACACTAACACACTGTCTCCTTCTTCTACAGGCAAGCAGTTAAAGGTCACCCTTGTTTTCAGCCTTCCTCTAATTTTTCAGGTAAGATGTTAAAAACAACATTGTTGAAATCCAGCTGCATTTGTGTTGTGGGTAAAGAGAGATCTCAAAAACTTTGACAGGCAAAACGCAGCCACCCACAGCCCTGCAGAGATGTGTGGGGCACACTAAGGATCCAGAGGTGGGCGGTGAGACAGCAGAGCAGTGCTAGAAGCCAGAGGAAAAACAAACAGAAGGAACGAAAACAAAGAGAGAACAGAAACAATGACATACACTGCAATTTTAAGATGGCCTGGACTGTTAGAACCAAGTCCCCTTCTAGCACCAAAATGAGCATTTTCAGGAAAGACAAGAGCATCTTATGCTGAGTGCTTGTGAAGAGCCAGCTCATTGCTCTTTGCAGACACCTGGTCAAAGCGCTGGGCTTCAACTGAGGTCAGCGTTGAAGAGCTGACATGCCCAAGGAGGAAGAGTTCAGCATCTTCCTCTGCCTGTTCCTGCTCAGAGCAAATCTGAAGCAGGAAGGAGAACCCAAAGCACTGAGCTGTGCCGAGACCTGCTCCTGAACCGCCGGCCTGGCCCCGGCGCTCGCACTGCTACAACCACAGGAGCAGCCTCCGCCACACCATGGCCCCCAGCTCAGGCTCTCCGAGAGGCTCAGCAGAGCAGGGAGAGTTTTGCAGCCTGTTTCTTTTTCCTTTCACTTCTGGTGGCATGCCTCCAGATAGCAGGCAGGATGTGGTGAAAGCCAAGCCCGCCTGAGATGGAGAGCGCGCTAAGATATTCAGTGATAACTGGCAGAGGTATCCAGGGGAAACCTTTCATCTCTGTGCAATGGAGAGAAGGTACTGGAGACTAATAAGTCACAAAAAAGCAGGGCACAGATACCACAAGCTCACTCTGCCTTGTAGGTTATGGCAGTGTAGGAAGATGAAAAAAGAATAATCAGAACTTAAATCAGGGGCAGGGGCCTGAATGAGACACCGGGAATGTGTCCGCGCCAGCACGGTAACAGTTTCCTGCTTCACTTGCTGTGTTTCCTCCCAGTCTCATTGACACCTCTATTAATTTAGCAGAGAAAACAGCCCAGGGAGGCTCCGGCTTTGTCTTTCCAAGGAGCCCTTTGCTCGCAGCACTGCTTCAGCCGCTCAGCGGGCTCACCCCTCGCTGAGGGGACGGGGCGGCCGCAGGACCAGGAAGCCCAGGAGGACGCCGGTGCTCGCCGTGCCAGGCTGCTGCCGGTTACAAACACAACCACTGCAGCCCTCTTCTAGCACTGTCACAAGTGAGAAGGGGACGTGAGCAACAGGAATATCTCACATGGGAGAAGGGAGGGAATACTGAAGTTAGAAAATACCTAATGAGTAGAGTCAGTCAAGAGGAAATGTTATCCCTGCTGAGAGAAGAAGAATGCTGAAGGATGTATTATTTTTCCCGTTTTATCCGACAGCTGACTATGTACATACAGCTGTATGTGGGTCCTGAAACATTCTGGAAAGCAGCCACACGTTTGAGAGCTTGCAGGTGTTACTTTGGCTGAGCACTAAACATTTCTTGTGGAACTCCCACTCTAAGCCCCCCAGAAAAAACCCAAACCCCACATACTTATAGGAAATGTTTCAGCCACAAGGACCTTGCCAACTCTGTTAATGATGTTGGCATGAGCCAACGCATGGGAACTCCCTGGGACTTCTCTGCAGCTGGGTACTCCTGCCTGCTTCACGGGCCAACACCAGGCTCCCTTCCTGACATGGCCGCGGAGGGGTCAGTACCTGTCCCAATACACTCTTCTTTTCTTCCCTGCTCTAGTTGTGCACCGGGAACAACGTCACCGATGACTACGACTCCAACACCACCATCGACTACACCATGTTCGAGACCCTGTGCGAGAAGGAGGAAGTCCGTAACTTCCGTGCTGCCTTCCTCCCAGCCATGTACTCCCTCATCTGCTTCACGGGGCTGCTGGGGAACGGGCTGGTGATGCTCACCTACATCTACTTCAAAAGGCTCAAGACCATGACGGACATCTATTTGCTGAACCTGCTTCCTGCTGCCCCTCCCCTTTTGGGCCACAAGTGCAGCCATGCACTGGCTTTTCGGGGAGTTTGCCTGCAAAGCCGTCTATTGCATCTGCAAAATGAGTTTCTTCAGCGGGATGCTGCTCCTCCTGTCCATCAGCATCGACAGATACTTTGCCATCGTTCAGGCTGCCTCGGCCCACCGCTTCCGTCCCCGGATGATATTCATTAGCAAGGTCACATGCGTCCTCATTTGGCTCCTGGCCTTCATCCTCTCAATCCCTGAGCTGGTTCACAGTGGTGTAAATGACGCAAACAACCATCCCCGTTGTTCCATCATCGCTAATGACTTGCAGACCTTCAACACTGGCATCAAAGTGTCCCAAATGGTTTTTGGCTTCTTATTTCCCCTACTGGTCATGTCTGTCTGCTACCTTATCATCATCAAAACATTACTCCAGGCCCGCAACTTTGAGAAGAATAAAGCCATCAAGGTCATCATCGCCGTGGTAATTGTCTTTGTTGTCTTCCAGCTGCCCTACAACAGCATCATGCTGGCCAAGACCATCTCAGCCTTCAACGACACGAGCTCATGTGAGGAGAGCAAGAAGCTTGACGTGGCGGATGACGTCACCTACACTCTGGCCTGCTTCCGATGCTGCCTCAATCCTTTCCTCTACGCCTTCATCGGTGTCAAATTCCGCAACGACCTCTTCAAGCTTCTGAAGGAGCTGGGTTGCCTGAGCCAGGAGCGCCTCTGGCAGCTGTCCACCTGCCGCGAGAGCAAGAGGTTTTCCTTTGCCATGGAGACAGAGACAACCACCACCTTCTCCCCATGAGCCGAGCTCCGGGCAGCCTTTGACCACGCTGAAGGCTGGAGTAGTTTTGTACACTTCTTCTATTCTGAACTACTGGTAGATCGAGACCTGCCACTACTGTAGGAAAGGCAGCTGTAAGAGGGAAACCCAGGAGCCTCCCCATATTTCAGGGAGTGATCACTGCTAGCCAATACTCCCATGGATGCAAAGACTCCAATAAAGCTGTGACAAATAGAAAAGCAAGGGAGAGGGAGACCAGTGAGTCTAGAATTTATCATGCCATTTCACCTTTATTTTAGTCTTTCCTAGTCAAAATGAGAAATGCTTAAAATAGAATATTTTCCCTAAAAGCGACAAATACCAAAAGAAAGAGACATTTGTGCAACAGAATTGCTTGTTTTAGAGCTGAACTTCCAAGAGCATCGTCCTTGCTTCAACTGTTGCTTTTAACAAGACTACCTATTGCTCTTCCATACCCACAAAAATGGTCCCTGACGCAGTGACTCAGTCTTCAAGACTAAACAGCACCAGCAGCCTCAGCCTCCAAGCTTAATCCAACATGCAATATAAGCTGTGAAGCATCCTAGGATGCAACTCTCTGCTTTGTCTTCCCCCACGAAAAGTGAGAAATTTCCATAACTAATATTAAATCCATACATATGATATACTTAATTTCAATAACTTTGTATATTATTGTGGCAACTCATACGTTTGTCAGAAAAAGTACAAATTCCACTTCACTTCTGCCTGTATCTGGTGTTTCACCTACAAAGAAGGTGCATTGTAAGGAGCACAAATTATTCTATCCCAACCTTGACTTGAATTCTTCAGAAATGCTGCTCCACTGTAAATAAAGTCTCCTTTAGCTTCTGAAAGGGCATCTGCCCGCACAAGGGCTGGTGCAGGGGTAGCTAGCACAGTTTAGATCCAAACTTTTTGCACAAAGACAAATTAGTTACAAGCTCAAAAAACCCACTGTCTTTCCAATCACCAAGCATACAAACTTAAACTAAGAAACAGATACTTCTGCACCAATCCAGCCAGGTGCTTAAAATATATTTTTACCACTCAGCCATCCAGCCTGTCCCAATGTCATCCTTACTCCTGACGTGCTGAGGGACTGTTTACTCACTCGCTTGATATAAAGTATGTGTTTTAGCGGACTGGTGCCAGAACCCTCCGAATTTTAAAGATTCAAGCCCAGGGCAAATCCGTCTGCATTTCTTAAGGCAAGACTCTCAAATTCAACATAGAGTTGTGCCCATGGTCCAACCACTTCAGTCTGCCAGTATCTGAAGCTTGCTTGTACCTAGCTTTATCAGCTGCTGCAGACACAGTCTGCTGATTTTTCACATACGCGTGGGGACCTTCTGTGCTATTGCTTGCTGACCTCAAGCGATAAACAAGAATGTGGGTTTTCTTCTCCATACCCAACCAACATGTCTTTCTAGAAGGACTTCAGCAGCTGGCTTTTAAGTCAGATATGTATTTCACTTATAAGCTATTGAAAACGTGTTTTGCATTCGTACTGTCAGTGCTAATAAAGATGCCATTCACTGTGGTTTGATTTAAACGCAAAGGACAGTCACGTGTTGAAGATTACTGCCAGGGTCACGTACTTGAAAGGAACATGGCAGCTGAACAACAGATAATTGTCATGTAAAATAAGACCTTGAAAAGAAGCCCAGAATGTAATGCCAGTTGGTGCATTTACTAGAAGAGCAAAGATTCCTACCAACAGATGAATACCTTGGGAGCTGCTGTCATGGCACATCCAAATGTCAACCGGGGAGGAGCTGCTGCAATTGTTTGTGCATCTGTTACTGACTTGCGTGCTCTAATCCCCAGAGCGCACAGCTCTCCCCAGAGCCAGACGTCAGTGGCGAAAGTTTGGTGCTGGGCAGGAGCAGGCTAACTCAGCAGAGGTGCGCAGCCTCACCTTCCAGAGCAGCAGTTGAACAGTTTTGTGGAAACCGCAAGGCATGTTCCAGTGGACATACAGAGCCATGCAGAGCAAAACACACTTACTAGAAAGACATTTATACTTTTTTTAAGACCACGCATGGATCCATTAGGACTGATCCAGGGAACTCTCTGGATCATAGGTCAAAAAACATTGCTTTAGAGACATAAGGATTAAAATCAACCTTCCAAGGACAGAATTCAATTAGCTGGTTTTGAGACAATATTGCCAGTTATATAGCTGGCTGCCACCATAATTAAATAAATTCTTCTTCATAAACCATGTCGCTCTGGGGTATGGGATTTTGCCAAGAGCTGGGATTCAGGAAGAAAGCACATTCTGCTCCACTTTACCTGTCTATGCTGAAGTACAATCCCATCCAACCGTTTAACGCATTTTCTTTTACAATGCCCATGTAACATGTACAGAAGTGCTGCTTCTCTGTCATATCAAATGGGGGGTTACGACTGACACTGAATAGTCATTTGTGCTTGGTTTGTTCCTATAGTCCTTACTCAGGCAAGACATCCAGAGAACTTTCCCAGAGCAAGGAATACCCATAATACAGGGTCTTTTTAGTTTTCTTCATCTGTAATTATATATTTTTAATGTATATTCATATATTGAAAAGGCTGCTTTATACAGAAAAAGTTAAATATGTACATGAATGTACCCTGAAAATACACTGCTTTAACTAGAACTTTTTATGCAAAATACATTCACCTAACTTATTCTAGCAAGGAAAATTGCTTCACCAAAACATGCAATTGTACTTGTCTCCTGTTTGATAAAAGCCATTCCTCTTCTACAAACTGAGAAGTCTCCAGGTCTTTATTGACTAGACGTATTCTAAATAGGAAAACATGCAGCTGCTTCCATATTAAAAGCATCATCTGGGACAGCTGCATCTGGTGCCTCCTCAACAAGACAGCAGTGACTTCAGAGTGCATGGCTTTTTTTTTTTTTAATTTAACAGACAGAACAAATTTGCCACTTATTTAGATGAATCATGTTAACATTGGCCTAACATCCTAACTTGACATTCTCCACTGAAGTCTGAAAACTGACTGTATTTTGCTATTTGTGGAAAATAAATTATAACAATTAAAAAAAAAAAAACCTTTGTTTTTTCATTGTATTTCCTCCATAAGATGTATCTTGTATGTATCATAGCAGTTCGTAACATATCCTTCTGGCCCTGTCAAGAGCTGTTTGTTGATCAACTTAGCTTCATATTGGTACTGTCCTGCAGGAAAAAGAGCGTGTAAAACAAACTAAGTAGGAAAAAAGCTGGTTTACTTCATCTGTTGATGAATTATACAGTAAACAAGTCATCAACAGATTAAGTAGTAGTCTTTATTTTAACTATTAACCCAACTGCCTTAACACTGCTCCACTACTGGATATACCTGATGGCTATTTATCAATGTTTACGTGAAAAGCCTTTATGTTGTAACATTTTATTGTTCATTTTTAAATTTAAAAAAGTCAGTAATGAAATACCATATTACTGTGCAAATTGCTCACAGGGAGAGGCAGCAACCACAGCTCTGGTGGCTAGAGCACCTATATACAAGCTAAGAGCAGCAATTGCCATGCTAGTTGAGATGAGCTGTCAATCTAATCCAGCTCTACAACTCAAACAGGCCAATGTGGCATGATTAACACACACAAAACATTTCTTCCTGGCCTCCCCAGTTAATTTATGCCTCAAGGCACATGGGGATGATCAATCTTTACAAAAAATGCCTTATACTTGCAACCACAGAATCAAAGAGGAAGGAACCTCAAAGAAAACCAGAAGACACGAAGCCTGACATTTGAGTGCCAAAACTAAGGACTGTTTCTGCTTTCACTAAACAATGCAGGTCTCTTATGCTTTCTCCCTAGAGAGAAAGTATTAGGCTAGTTTCAGCATCCGGCCCAGAGGCTCAAGCAGCGATAAGGAGCATCTCAAGACCACGGCACCAAAATACAACTCTAGATAATGACAGTCTAAACCCAAGGCTCCTTAAATAAACATTAGGTCTCGCTTACCACAACTAGGTCAGAAGTCTCAACTGCCCTGAGTCCAAGGAGCTCATTTGTGCAAGAGATACAGCCTCCTGAAACAGGAGCTCTGAACTAGGGCACACAAAACATGAACAGAACTGGGGATTTGCAGAAAACCACCATGCTTTTAACAATTCCCTGTGCTTCTCAGAGGTGACTGTGAACCAAGCTTTTAAACAGGAAAGTTCCTGAATTTTAAGAAAACAGACTCCAACTTACAACCCTAATTTAAACCAGTAAAACTCAGCCCACCAAGCAACCATCCAAGGCCACAAATAGCCCAGCCAAATCACACAGAACCTGTTAGAGAAAATAAGTGCATTTCTAGGATGGATTTAACCCATTTTAGTACCTTTCATCAGCAAGACAGAGAAAGAGGTTCCCTTTTACAGTTTACTGGGGGACTGAGACCAATCTCAGTTTTAAATCTTCTTTAAGAAGTCAATTAAAAAAGCCTGGCCCTCGTTACAGAAAGGGGCCATTGGTCTGCAATAAACTACAGCAAAAGCAGGAAAGACATCTACCACCTTGTCACAGCCATGTGGACTCCAGGTGGTTCCTGCAACCCCTTCTCCAAGTCATTGTGAGAAACCTCTTCATCGCTCAGAAGCCCTGGACTCCTCATTGCTCCGAATAAAGTATCGCT